GCATAGCCCAGCCCAGCACAGCCTGATACAACACAGCCCCATCCAGCCGAGCCCAGTGCAGCCCATTCAGAGGCCAGGGCAGTCTTCTCCCAAAAAGCACACCCTGAGGGAGGCAGTTTCCATCACCACCAAGGAAGGCCAGGAGGGTCTGGTGCAGAGCCTCAGAGGGTGTCCCGTTGACAAGGCTGCCAGGCATGTCACAGCCCAGTGATGCGGGTCACCCTCTGAATGCAAATGCAGCCCAGCAGGTCAGGCCTTGTCAAAGGCTTCACTCCGCAGCTGCTAATGGGCTGCAGCCTCTGCAGCCTCCCCTGTCCTTAGCCCCACAGCTGCTCCTGCCCTCAGCATGGCCAGCCGCCAACGTGTGTCAGAGGCCCGTGCGGTCCCAGTGCCCGGTGCTCCTCACCAGCTCAGAGATCCCTTAGCCACTGCCCAGCCCAGTGGGAGCACGCAGAGCTGGGGCAGGAGGGCCGAGTCTCAATCCTGGCTCCACCACCGTGAGGCCGTGTGACCTGAGACATCTCTGAGCCTCTCTGGGCTAATGTGCGACAGGAGGCCTGCGTGAGCCGGACATGAGGGAGAAGGGAACCACCTGTGGACCCCAGATCTGCTCCCCTGCTGAGGTGTCAGCAAGGAGGCCCCTTTCTTCCCTTCACTCTGTGACCAGATGTGTACAGTTTGGAGGGGCTGCCTTGTGCAAGTCTCCAGATCCGGGTGGGCAGGGGGTGGGGGCACAGGGCTGCTGAGCAACGGATGTCTATTCTGCGTACCCGGCTTGCTGGCACGCTGGGCAGGCGTGAAGACCCGATAGGCCAGAGCAGGCCCTGGACATTGTCTTCTACTGAAGATGGGGCTTCTCCTTAGGGCAGTCCTGCCCCTTCCCCACCCGGAGGGAGGTCAGAAGCCCCTCTCCCAAGACCCACCCTCTTTCTGACTCAGGGCCCCTTGAACTGATTCCCAGGGCTGCCGAGCCATCTCTGTGTGTGATGCCCTTGAAGTGAGGGTCTCCCAAGCGCCAATGGTTTATTACACGGGTTTTCATGCACCGCTACCTCTCAGCGCCTCCCTCCTCCCCTCCCCACCCCCTCCCCTTGCCTCAGAGCACCACCTGTCTCTCCAGCCTGCTTCGGCAACCCCTGCTTGCCTGTTGCCAGGGAAACCACCTCCTTGGCAACCAGCCGGCATCCATATGACAAGTACACGAGGGAAGGGAAGGTTCTTGCCTCTTGCTTAGGCTGTTGGTGGCTCTGCTCTGACAACTCCAAAGAACGGCATTTGCTCCTTGCACGGGACCGGGTGCCCGACAGAGTCTGAAGGAGGGTCCAGGCTGTGACCGCAGAGAGGGAAGGGAGGCATCAGGCTCCCCCTTGAGTATCATTCAACTGATGATCATTCAGCAGTTATTAAACGCCTACTATTTACCAAGCCCTGAGCTGGGCCCTTCACATACAATATCTCACTTAATCATGCTTCGAACCTGCAAGAGAAATATGATTATTCCCATCTCACAGATGGGGAGATGGAGAGAGGTTCAGGGGCTGCCCTGGGCTGGCAGGTGTCAGAGCTGAGAGCTGAGCTTAGTCTTGTCTGATTTCAAAGCCTGGTTCTTTCTACCTTCCTGAGGCCTCTGATCAGGCTGCTCATAGCTGGGCCAAGAGTGAGCGTGGCCCCAAGACACGCAATCCAGTGGGCAAGGAGCTCATAGTTTGTATGGGCCGTTGTCCGAATGTGCTAAGCAAACTGTCAGTTTGGTGGCCCAGAGGCAAACCAGGTACAGCTTGATGGGAGAGGTGTGTGACCCCAGTGGGTGCCTAAGTCATCCGCGGGCCGAGGTGGGGGTGTCAAAGGAGTCCTAGAGGGGAGGATGGGTGGCCAGGACCCTCACAGGGGCAGGAGCTTTGGACCCGGGAGTGAGGACAGATGCCAGGAGGCCGTCCTACTGGAGCCATGGCCACGGTGTCATGGCTGGGGATGTGGCAGCCAGGTTCCTGAGGGCCTGAGGACAGTGGGACCGTGGGAATGGGCCTGGGCTCCTCCTCTTGCTGCCAGGTAGAAGGATGGGGAGGGCCCACCCGGGCTGAGCACAGGACTCTAATGGAGCCTCGAGATGGGATGAGGCAGGCGACGGAGTGCAGAGAGGAGTTGCCTTGAACGAGCAGGGACAGGGCAAGGTGACTGCGAGAGAAGACGGCAGGTACAAAGGTGTGGCAGTGTGGTGCTGCGTGACGTGGCGGGGCAATGTGGCCGTCCCCTCACAGGCTGCGGCCCGGAGGGCTCCGACTGTTCCCTGGGCTCCCGCAGGCAGGGGTGATCAACAGGGAGGCCTGGCTGCTGGGACCCTCTCCCTGCCCCTTGGTCCACCTTCCTCTGACCCTCGCCCTCTCCCACAGGCCCTACAGCGCAGAGACACTGAAATCTACTCTTGCATCCAGAATGAGGCCAGCAGCCTGCCGACCACCCAGAGCCTCCACTCCCAGGTATGCGGGGCGCGTGGTGGGGGGGCAGCATGCCTGGCTCCTCCTCTTGTTCCATCCGCACCTTCTCTTTGTCTGTAAAATGGGGGTAAATAGGACCACAGGAGTGAGCCATCTGCGGCTGAGTCCAAGCCCTCTCCCCTAGACAGGCGGCCCAGCGGTTAGGAGGACTGGAGGGTCTGAAACCTTGCTCCCTCCCTTCCTAGCTGTGCCACCCCAGCCAAGGGGCTCCCCTCCGAGCCTGAGTCCCCTCTGTAACTGCACGCTGCTCAGAGATTTGCCAGGAAGGTTAAATGTTGTCCTGGGACCAGTAGGTGCTTCTGCAGGGTGAGCAGTGTCTACACTGGCCAACCAGGCAGGGGGTGTTGCGAGGCTTCCGGCTGTCCCCAGGCTGACACTGGCTAGAGGTGGAAGCTAGAGTCTGGGCTGGCCCGGTCGGCCTCTGTTCTCATCATGATGGGGGCCGAGGCATATCACCTGATCGTGATTCCCTCTTGAACCTCAGTTTGCTCATCTGTTAAGGGGATGAGTGACACTTCCCTGCAAAACCAGCTGCCCCGAATTCAGACGAGTTCCGGCTTAAGTATGTCTGCGCCAGAGCTTCGGGCACCATAAAGTGCAAGGGGTTAGCAAGCTGGTACAGGAGCCAACAGGTGGTGGGTCGGTCCACGGACACCTTGGAAGAGGCGTCAGGAAGTGAGGGGGCTGGTACTTGGCCTTCCCCAGCCCAGGGGGCCCAGGATGACATTGTTGACTCTCCTCAAAGCCCTGTCTATACTCAGCCCTGAACTTGGCCCTGACTGGAAACAGGGCTTCCCCATGCTGAGACCCCCAAGGATGTCTGGGCCGTCCTAGGCAGTGTCCGCCCTGTGACGAGTCCTGTGGGGCTGGCCAGGATGGCGGGATGTGGCACTGCCCCCCGGGAGCCTTGGGTCTGCAAGAACAGGTGCTGACCCAACAAACAGAGGCATTTGCAGCCCCCTGTGAGGGGTCTGCTGCCGAGAGGCACCCGACTAGGGCTAGGGGAGGGGGCTCCCAGGGACGCTGAGCCAAACCCTGCAGGCGGAGTAGGGGGTAGCTGGGGAGCAGGTGGGCGTGAGGGAGCCCCCCAGACAGAGGGAAGAGCTTGTGCGGAGGCCCGAGGGGCTGGAGGGCCGGGAGCCAGGGTGGGTAGAATAGAGGGAGAAGAGGTTGGCGGGGAGGCCTTGGGGACAAGTACTGTCCCCTGTCAAAGCCATGCAGGGAGCTGTCTGTTGGCCTCTGGCTAAAACTAAATTAGTGCAACTTTGTTCTCTTCCTATTGTTTTTCTCTTCCTTCCTTCCTTCTGTTCTTTTCTTTCTTTTCACAGAAGAAACTGCACGGATTTACGGATGACAGCGAATTTAATAACATGGTCTATGAAAACTTCTAGGACGAGCTCCACTGGCGCATAGATCTGGCCCTGGATCCAAGGCCCCACGGCAGCCCCTCCCTCCACAGGACTGGCCCCGCACCAGGAGCGAGGCCCCTGGGGTGCCCCATCACCTTGCCCCCACATTCAAGGTGTTCCCAGCCTTGGGTGTGCCCCTTACCCCCCATTCTGTGGCCTAGCCATACCCACTGAGCATCTTGCATCTGGCTTTTGCCCGGGCTCTTCCCTCAGCCTGCCAGCCCATCCTCCAGACTCCATGGGCTCTCTCGGACACCACCCCTCCCCAAGCCCTCCTCTCTCTCTCAAGATCCACAGGCTCTCTCGGCACCAGCCTGCACCGCAGACTGTTAAGGCCAGCCACGAGCTCCTCAGGAGGTTCCCGGCAAGGGGCCCTTGTCAGTGCTGTGAGCACGAGCATCAGCAGGAACACAGAAAGGAACAGTTGCAAAAATGCCCCCTGCCCGGCTGGGTCGAAGGCACAGGGCAGCCATGCAAAGTAGAGCAGGGGGCTAGGAGGGGCAGGTAGGGGTTGTGGGCAAGAGGGGAGCTGTGCAGAGGCTGGGCTGGGCTTGGGGATGAAGCTAGGGGCCAGGAGGTGGCTGAGTGGAGGTCGTCAGGCTGGGGGCCTGAAGCCGGGAGGGCGAGGAAGGAGATCTGGCATGTTTGGGGCAGGGAATGGGGAGACGCTGGCCGAATGAGCTGAACCTCCTGAAGCTCTCCATCCTCCAACAAGGACCCCAAGGTTGTTTCCCATCAGCCTGGCCATCTGTACTCACTGCTTTGTCACCTCTGCCACCATCCTCCAAGGCCTCGGCTGCTCCTCCTTCTCCCGCTGAGGCCCAGTCCCCCAGAGCCGCAGTCTGGCCTACCTGGACCCCACCCTCCTCCTCTCTTGGTCGGCCTTGTGCCCCCAGCCCAGGGCTTTGAGGACCCCTCCTCCCTCACACAGTCTAGCTGCAGGGCTTGGTGCCTAGGGCGCCTCTGACAGGTGGAAGGCTCCTTGGTGTTGCTGGAGCTCAGGCCCTAGGCAGACGGCGGCCCCTCGATGCTTGAACAGACCCATTTCTGCGGCTTCAAGTGCTCATTTCTCCCTCTCAGCAGCCCTGCTGGAACCCATTTCACATGCAGACGGGCTGAGGGTGGGGAATCACCCAGGCTGTGGGGCTCTGCTCCTTCCCTCCCGTGCTCTCCCCCATCCCTGCTGCTTTCTACTATCTCATTTGTAAAATCCTCCCTCCCACCCCCGGGCTGCCCCAGAGGTCCTTGAGGGGCCCTTGCGCACAAAACATGTCCAGGGACAATGAGGGGCCCCGACTCTGGTCCTGAGCAGTACCGGGCCACCAGTTTGTGGGCATCCAGATAAAACATTTATGGGATCAGGGCGCCGGGGTGGCGCAGTCGGTTAAGTGGTTAAGCGTCTGACTCTTGGTTTCGGCTCCGGTCGTGATCTAGGGGTCATGATCTCTGGGTTTTGATCTCAGGGTCATGGGATCATGCCCCCCATTGGGCTCTATGCTCAGCATGGAGTCTGCTAAAGTTTCTCTCTCCCTCTCCCTCTGCCCTTCTCCCATGCACTCGCTCGCTCTCTCAAATAAATAAATAAATCTTAAAAAAAAAAAACAAAACCCTGCAGGCGACTGGGTGGCTCAGTCAGTTAAGTGTCTGCCTTCAGCTCAGGTCATGATCCCAGGGTCCTGGGATTGAGTGCCACATCGGGCTCCCTGCTCGGCGGGGAGCCTGCTTCTCCCTCTGCCTCTGCCCCTCCTCCCTGCTCATGCTCTCTCTCTCTCCCTGAAATAAACAAATAAAAAACTTAAAAAAAAAAAACAAAAAAACCTGCATGGGATCACATCCCTCCTCCTGCTCCACAGTGCCCACCTCACTGGGACAAAGTCCCAACTCCTCCCCATGGCCTGTGAGGCCCTTCAGAACCAAACTGTCCCCCTTCTGTACACACAGCCATTGCCAACATAGTGACCAAGTGGGGGCAGGGCTGGCAGGGTGCCGAGGTCTCCAAGGAGCAGGCAGAGAGGCAGGGAGGAGGAGGGTCAAGGTGGAGGGGTGGGGTAAGAATATCCTGGGACTCCCAGCGCGGAACCTGTCCCTTCACCTGCAGGACTGAGAGTCCGACGGGCTGGTGCAGGGGCAAGGGGTGGCAGATTCCTGCAGGGGGTGCAGGTGGTAGTAAGGGAGGAGGAAGGGACAGAGAGGGCTTCCAGCTGAACTCCTTGAGGGCAGGCTTGTGTGGACTCTGGACTCTGAACGAGCGGAGGAGGGAAGAACCGTACTTGGAGCTCCTTGGGGCTGGGTGGCTGCTGGCCTCTCTCGAACCCCAGCTCCACCTCCCAGCGGCCATGACCTCCTGAGCCTCGGCTGCAGTGACAAGACCGCTCAGTGTGGCTCAGAGAGGACAGATGGGGAACTCTACTCCTACAGAGGCTCAGAGGGTGTGCATTTTCCTCTCCACTCATCTTCCAGGAAAAGCAGGCCATCGCAGAACAGTGTGGAGGGGGGTCCGCTAAACAAGGAATGGGCGTCCCTCCGGGGATGGGGTCCCAGGCTCTGTCACCCCCACAGGGAGGGGGATCTGAGGGGGAACAGGTCAGACCCGGGTGAGGGGAGCCTCAGACCCGAAGGGTGGATGGCAGCATCCTGAGGGTGGATCTCGGGCCTAGGTTGGGCAGAAGCCCCCCCTTCCCCCCCACCCTGAGGGCCAGGCCCCGGGCACCCCTTCTTCCCACCCAGACCCTGCCCCAAGGCACCCCTTCAGAGGGGCAGTCAGGCCCATCAGGGTCTCAATCTGGCTTGCCTGGCTCTGACGGGGATTTCCTCCCGGCTCTCAGCAGAGCCTGCCTGCCCTCCCGGGTCACCCCCTGCAGAGTCTCGGGCGTCTGAAACGGTTCAGCTACTCCTGACACCCTCCATCTCCGAAGGCCTCTCTGGGGCAGCCACTCAGAAATGGCCAGCGCTGCCCCTTCCCTCTGGCTTCAGCCTCCAGCCCCTCCCCCGCTCTGCCCCTTCTCCTCTCGGTGCTTGCTTGAGAAAAACCATCCCTGGAAACCAAACCCAGGAACACAAAATAGGTGTGGGAAGCGGCGGCCCCTCCTCAGCAACAATTTCCAGAGGATTCTGCGAAGCAGAGTTTCCATGGGAACACGTGTGGTTCCACACAGAACCTCGGTGGGGCTGGGGTTCCCCCTCACAGCCAGTACTGCAGACCATGGCCTGGGGGCCACGGCCCAGCATAGCCACTGCTTTGGCCACCAGCCCTCACTAGTAGCCTGAAACCAGGCTACGGGCAAATCTGCCTTTTCTTTCTTTCTTTTTTTTTTTTTTTAACATTCTCATTTAAAGGCGAACTCCATTCTAAGGATGCCTCTGGGATTTCCAGGATGGATTTTTATGCAGCTCAATAGTTTCCTTGGCACACCGCTCAGCCAGGAGAGGTGGGCTGTGGCCCCAGCCCAGCCAGGCTGACAAGGCCAGGGAACTTCACTTACCCACCTGAGGGGCTTCCTCACACCCAGATTCAGACTCCACGGGTCCGGACACCAGCAGGAGGCGCTGGGTCCCCTTCCTTACTAGGCTCCTTCCTTGACCTGTGGTCCTAATTTCGGCCTGTGAGCTTTGACCACCGGCCGGTCAGGCCCTTACTCTCTGTTCTCGGCATTTTGTGTGTGTTTATCTAAGCGGGCTACACAGGCGGTAAAATTCCCTCTGGTGCTCCGGCCAGTCGTAGCCTCCATCCCAGGCCCCTCCCGGGGCGACCCCTGGGTCATCGGGGTGTGGTTTTATTTTTCAGGCTGTTTTCATTGCATCCACATACATATATGCATATATATGAACATAGACAATTGATAGTGCTTGTGCAGGGTTCTGAAAGCTTAAATGGGATCATTCTGTAGGTGTTTGTGCTTGCTTTGTTCATGCAGCCCCACGTGGTGGGGATCTGCCTGTGACAGCGCGCAGAAGCTGCCAGACTCCTTAATTACAGCAAAGGATTCCACAGTACCCATGGATCCTAATTTAACCAGGGCCCTATAAATGGCCTTTTCGGTTGTTTACAATTTCCAGCCTCACAGAAGGTGCTGCAGGGAATATCCTTGGACATAATTTGCAGAACTTTCTCCGTGGGAAATGACGAAAAGGACTCACTGGGGCCCAGGGTGTGGGCCTCATTTACTATTTTAGCAGACACTGCCAAGTAGTCACGCACGGAGTTTGTACTGTTTCCATTCTTCAAGGCTTCTATCTGCACTCTCTCATTTAATCCTGAAAACACCCTGCGAAGTGTTGGGGGGGGGCTTGTCTCCCCATCTTACCAAAGCAGAAACTGTGATTCAGGGAGGCTGAAGGTCATATAGCCCAGAAGGGGCAGCACTGGGCTGCTTTCACTGTGGGTGGTCCTTCGGACTCCATGGGTCAGATGAAGGGGGGAGGGGTTTGCACAAAGTGTCTTAGATAGACTCAGTGCCCCCAGGGCTGGGGAAGTCCTTGAAGGGACAAATTTCTGCCAGAGATACACTGTTAGCTTTACATTGCTCAGAATTGTAGGGGGGTGGGGCGGGAGTCCTTCTTCCCCACAGTCCGTCTATCTTTGGGGGGGAAATGAAGGCAGGTCTGTAGAGGTTGGTGGACCTGGGCCCACCCAGCAGACAGCACACACTGTGGGGCCTGGCTTCAGGCAGCCTAGACATTTGGATCCCTAGCCTTCCCTGGAAATTTCCGGGCACAACATGCCTGGAGGTGTGAGCCGCCTCTTGGAAGCTTTCTAATCCGGGATAATGCTGCCGTAATTGGCAATGTTTTGCCTTTACAACCCTCTCGTTACCTGAAAACCTCCTTGCAATGGCTGTATCTGGAGAGGGTTTAAGTTTACCACTTTGTGGACCTTGAGGGGCTGAGGAGCACAGGTTTTTTCTCTCAGCCCCTTCACGCACCCCATTCTGATTCCCTGGTGAGTGCCACAGGCAGGCCTGGGTAGCCCAGGCTGGCTGAGCTCATGGCTTTGGTTCAGGGCACAGCTCCCTACGGGAGCCCCAGCCTGATCAGTGGACAGCTTTTCTCCCCAATTCCCCCTCCTTCCTGGGTCCAGCCCACCCATCTAGTCACCCTTCAACCCCTTCTCCTTCCGTCCCTTCCCAGTCTCTGCCACTGATCTTTCAATAGCACAGAGCTGACCATGCTTCTCCCCTCTCAAAACCCTGTAGTACCTCACATTTATTTATTTCAACAAAGGGGCCAAGATAATGCAATAGGG